TTTTAACTTCCCAATCAAAGAACCCCAATTGTAGCATTAACCATTATATCTGACATTTTGGCATTCGTCTGTTTTTTTTTTTTTGTTTTTTGCCCATTCACCACCTGATCCGTTGTCCGCATTCACATTCGCAGTTATTACACATTTTATGTGGTTAATTATCAAATTATATTGTAGTTTGGCCTGTCTCAATGGATTAGCGCATTTGAGTCGTGTACGTGACCACGCGGCGTATGCGCAATGACCAGGCGGTACTCGACACGTTACGCATACGCGGCGTTGGCCAAGAGAAAACCGCAAGACAATTTGCAGTTGGCAACGAGGGGAGTGGAAAAAAAATTGAAATGATAATTGCACTTGCCCCACCCACCCAAAAAAAAAAAAAAAACAGCCCACGCCTTGCTGCTCCACATTATGAGCGATGAAAGATAAATGTTGGCTCAGCTTTTTCGGCTTTCGGTTTTCCGCGATTTGTTCGATTCGGGTTGTTAACATAAAATCGCAATTAGTTGGCATTTTGTGTGTGGGGCAACGGCAGCTGCTTTATATGTACGTTGTTCTGTTTTATTAATAATCTCTTGTTACAAAATTATGCAAAACAATTTATCACAAATTTGTTTCTGGGGGGCTGTTTTTCCATTGTGTTTTTTTTGTTTAGCGGCCCAAGCTCAAGGAGTGGCTGGGTAAAACAAATTAGCATTTTACATTCTTTGGGCATTTTCTTAAGCGTATCCAAGTCGAAAGAATTTAAGATATTTTACGCCATTTGAGTGGCTTAAATATCGAATTCAAGCTTAACATTAGCCTATTTTTTAACAAACAAAATTAATCTTACTAACGTGCATATTTTTATTTTCATTGAATCGATTACCGTAATATTTAAATACAAAAGTGGAATAAATTAATTGTTTTAAAATGCAATTTGAATAAAACTCGCATAAAGATTTGTCATTAAGAGTATCAATTGTGTTCAATCGATTTGCGAATCCCACATAAATTAGGCACACTTTTTATGGTTACTTAAATGGATTTTTAAACGAAATTTAAATGCATTTGCTCCGATTAAAAAAAAAATTCCCAAAAAAAAAACAACAATAAATAATGGTATTCCAGAATTATTGAAAATGAGTAAGTGTCAAATTTATTGACATTTGATTTGAATGTTTGTGGCGAGGCCAACAAATTGGCGCTGCAAATGTTGTTGTTGCCGGCCTGCAACATATGTTGCAAGTTGTTGCAGCTGTCAATAGAGGCGGTCACGTCATGTTGCCGTTGTTACCATTGCAGTTGCTGCATTGCTGCGGCAATTGTTGCTGTGCCTGTTGCAGTTGCCGCTGCCGTTGTCTTGTCAAAAATGTGTTGTTGCCGAAGCTGTTGCTGTTGTTAAGTGTTTTGCCTTTGCATATTTCTGGCATGTCTGGCATGTTGTTTAACACCCTGTTATACCCAATCGAAGCCATGTCCATGCAAATTGGCAGAGGGATGGCGGATGGGGGAGTGGTCAACTCAATCAGACTCTTAGCTGACCAACAAATCAGCTTAAGACAACACACACACCCGACCCGAGTTCGAAAGTCCACTTGGAAAAAGTCTCCCCCTGAAAGAACCAAAAATGAAACAAAAATATTGCATTTTTTTCGGGTGCTGCAAATATTTGAGCAGAAATTTGCCTGCTAGGGAAAAGTCATTGAAAGTCATTTGCCAACGTTCGGTGATGACGGACTATCCCCCAACGCCTCCCACGCCTCTTTTGACCTGTCCGCAACGACATTTGTAACACTTTGTTTGCCTTTCGGCTGCTTCTCGATGTCGGCTAACAAAAAGGAAAGAGAAAAAACAAAAATCTCACTAAACGGGCTAAAGCAAAGCAAAAAATCTAGCGGGAATGTGAGGCAGCTGCGAACGATTCTCAAATCGCATCAAATATCAACCGAGCATACGTTAAATGCCTCAAATTGAGTTAAAGTGCCGACGACCGTCCGTCTCTTTTCCGCCCGTTTCCTTTCCCGCTGCCACGCCCACGCCCACTATCCCTAAATCTACTCCTCCCACTCGCACTCGCAGTCGACAGGACAAAAGCCAGTGGCAAAAACACAGGAGCCGAGGAAAAAGGCAAACTATAACAGCAAATGGTGGGTAAAAAAATTACTTCCGCACGATGTCCAGGCATCGACTGAAATAGAGGGGAGAACGAGGAGTTTTCGGTCAAGAACTATAAAAATGTAATAATTTGAGAGAATATGTAAAGATTTTTTATATTATAAATTTAATTTTGGTCTGGTTTTAAAAAATTTGTGTCTCCACAAATTCACATATTCTTCTTTGCCCGAAAATAGAAGGCCCTCAAAATCAAATACATAATTTAAAATGTATATTAATTTTTTTAATCTTTAATTAATCAAAAATTAGTATTATATATTACAATTTATTTTTTAAAGTAAACACTATTAAAACTCTAAACTCCATTAAGAGAACAATAAACTTTTCTAAACTTTATGTCCTGCCCTCGTCACACTGCACTCCACCACGCACATGCGGGCATATTTGGCTTGGCTCCATTTCAGGACGCAAGGCCAGTATGCAGGACCATCACTTGGTTGTCGCCGTACCCCCAACCCCCAACCCCCCACCTTCCTTCCTTCCGACGCCTCTGGTTTATATTTTTTGTTGTTGTGTTTTTGTGTTTTTTTGCCCCTGCCGGCTTCTTTTTCATTGAATTGACTTTGGCCTGGTTGCTGGCTGAATGTCCTGGCCACTGATCCTGACTCCTCGCTGGCTGAGTGGCTGAGTGCCTGCTGTCATCATTGCCTCGTTCATCGACACTTTGCTTTTTAATCAATTTAACAATTTTTTGTTCGTTCTTGTTTCGGGGCGGACGATTTCCAAGGCGCCTGTGGATTCGTACGATATGCGATATACAGCATATGTATGTGTATATGCAAAAGTAATTGGTAGTCCTTTGGATCCTTTAAAGTCTCCTTGCTCGAGATATGCCTGCCCGTCGTCCATCGTCCGTCGCCCTTCTAAACTGTCTCTCTTTTTCTTCGGTCTATGTGCATTTGCTAATTAGTTTGCCCAGGCATCAGGACATGTGTCCTGTGTGTGCAGTGTCCTTTCCTCCTCCGCCGCCTACTTGAAATGAAATTCTTTCTGTTTTTCCAGCCCGTTTTTCCTCATTCTCAACCTTTTTTTTGTTTTTTTTTTTGAATGTGTCTAAAAAGGAAATGAACTCATCAGTTTGTTTGTTTGTTTGTCTTTTCTTCATTCTTCTGCCATCCATGCCTAATGAAGTTGATTTGCCAGTAAACAGAGCAAGGACTTGTCCGAATGTCCTTTGCACTGAACTGGAAACGAGTTAATCGAGTAGTTTTCCCAATCCATTTTCGACTTTTTGGGATTTTAGTCATTTGAATGGCACTGCCCAGATAATGGACTTCGAATTTGCTCTTGCCTTGAGAATCAAAAAATAGAACTAATTAAGATGGATGGAGCTTTGGTATGCATTTGGTTGATGAGCCATTTTGATAAAATGGATAAGAAGTTTGCTTCTAATAACTATATATATTTTGTTAATTGTATTATTATAAATAACAAACATTTTGGTGTATGCTTTAATCTGGAAATTGTGTCCTTAAGTCTTCGTGCTTTACTATACATAATAAAATCCAATGAGCGGCAAGCAATTTTCGAACAATTTCTAAATTGAACATTATTATTAGCTGAAGTGACAATTACTATTTTTCTGATATATTTTTCCCTTGGCATTTCTGGTTACCCTCGGATAATTTTCATTCCCATTTTCATTCTGAGCATCGCTTCCCATTCTTCGGCTAATGAAATTGTTTGCCGAGTGTCCGAGATGCACTTTCATAATTGAACAATTTACCAGTTTTCCTGGCCAGATTCAAAAATAACTTTATCAGGCATGGCATGGCAAGCAACCACTTCTTCTTTGGCCGCAAGTCTCGTTTTTGTGGCAAAACGCCAGCAACAACAACACTTGCAACATTGGCCACAGTTAACGCAGTTAAATATTTTCCGCTTAATTTAACAGGAATTTCAATTGACAGACGTGAGCACAAAGTTGTTGCCGCAGTGGTTGTTGCTATTGCTGCTGTTGCTGGTGTTGCTGATATTGCTGGTATTGCTGGTGTTGCTGTTGCTGCTGATGTGGTTGTTGTCGTCTGGGCAACGCATGATTTATGCACTCACACTTGGCGAGAGGAGGAAGAGATAGATGGCTGCGGTTGCACTGCCGTCAATTTCCATTAGACGCTGACCTTGTCAACATGTTGCCAGCCAGCAGCAATTGCAATTGCTGTTACTGTTCCAGTAGCAACATTCGCTGCTGGCGTCGCTGCTTTGGCTCGCGTTAAGTTGACAATTTACTGACAAATGTGTAAATTGCATTTGATCTTGTTGCTGTTGTTGCTGTTGTCGCTGCGTTAATTTATGCGCCTGGCATTTCAAGGAAAAAAAAAAAGAAAAGAAAAGTGGGGCGGAGGCGCAACAATAACCAAAGGGGGAGGGGCGACAGGGGGCTGCAAACACAAACACAAATACGCGGCGACTGCAGCGTCGACCTTGATCGCCGACTTCCGCATTTTACAGTTACGGTTTGCCCGTTCTCGATTTTCCCAGGCGGCTATGGAATTTTCTTTGAGTGAGCGGCGGAAAACGTTGCAATAAAAAACACCATAGTTAACTGAAAGTCAACTATTCGGTGCATTGTCATAATAAACTTTACCAGTAATTTTGAAATGTAATATTATCAAAATTATTGAGTTAAGAAAACATTAATTAAATGCATACATAAATTCTATAGGTAAATAGATTAATAGTAGTATATTTCATTATTAAAAATTGTTTGACAAAGAAACAGAAATAAACAGAGGTACTAATAGTTTGTAATCAGTTTTGAGTTGGTTTTGGCTTAACTAAGGTTCAAATATGTTAGGTAAAAATTATTTTCATTTAAAATATCTAAACATTTTACTCACCTTATGGGCTCTGATGGATGTGCCCTCTGAACAAACTAGTGTGACGTCCACCAGGCTCCCGTCTTGTAGTAATTGACTAAACACCCCTAACAGGTTGGATTGGTAATTGTTCCACCTCAAGCAGTAGTGCTCACTGCCCATGTCGGTGACAGCTTACGCTGCTGCAAGAATAAAGTGTGCAACATATATATATAAATAAATAAATAAATAATCAGTGGACGGGCAAGAGGCAGTTTACAAGTGAGAATGACTCGACACGACCTGCGAGAATAATAATTTCTTAATTTGGTGTTCTGAGGCTGCTGCTGCTGATGCTGCTGCTGCTGCTGCTAATTGAAATTGCGTAATCAATCGCACATACTGCAGATACATGCATTCAGATAGGTGTATCGCTGTATCGGTATCTTTAGATGCAATTAATGCCAAAGCGCTAGCACAAATGCCAAGCAAATTGCGAAATCTTTTGCCCAGGGTTCACAAATGTCACTGCCACCCAACAAAAAGAAAAAAATTTATATATTCATGGGGTTATCTGCGGGGGTACGAGGCAATTGAGGGCGTGACTGGGCGTGTCATTGCGTTATTTCCATAACAAAACGCTGACTTTGCAGTTTCATCCAAGTATTTTTTTTTGTTATTGCATGCACAGTTTGCAGGCAACGAACATTTCGGACTAACAATCAATAATTGTTTGTCGACGTTTTACTACAACAAATATTTCGTTACATAAAAAAAAACAAAGTTATTTTAAATCCCTACAGAATAGTAAAGGCAAAATTCAAGCACTATTTGTTACTGTTCGAGGTTAATATATTTCTTTAGATATAATATAAAACCAGTTGATTTATTGTTTAATTAAGGTAATCTAAATGTCAATTAATAACTAATGGTTAAAATTGCCTAAAAACGCACGTTTAACTACATTAGATAATAAATTTATTATTATATGCTTCCCAAAGTTGAGATCATATTTATAAACATACATAATATTGAACTATTTTTAAAATATTTTTTTTTTAAATAAATGCCTTAAGTTTATACTAAAGTAAGAAAAATTTTGAAACTCCACTCAAGATTCTCCGACACTTTCAGCCTTTTACTTTAATTGTCAGTTAATTTTGAGCCGGCTTTAACTGTCTTTCTCCCAGATCGCGCCATCAGTTTGCATTAATTTGATGGCTAAATAATTAATCGACCAGCCGGCATTCGGGCAATCAACGAAACGATCTGAAATTAGGCAAGCCCCCACCTCGAAAAGAAATTGCAAACGAACACCGAACACCGAACACCAAACACTAAGGCCCAATAGTAAGAGCAAACATTTCCGGCCAAACAACGCTGTTTTGATGGCTAACTGTCGCTGCTGTTGTTGTTTTTTTTTTCCCCCCCCATTGAATGGTGTTGGAAATCTCAGTCGCAAAAAAAAAAATAAAAATAAAAAAGAAGGAAAAAAACGAAATAATAACGAAGCAATAAACTCTGAATTTATTTCAACAAATAAAACTTTGATTTATTGCACTACGCACCGGGCACACAGCATGCAACGGATCTCGGGTCCCAGCGCCCCTGGATCCCCTCCCTCCCCCCCATTCCTTATTTTTCACCCCTCTCCCCCGGTGCGCCCCTGAAAACTGGAGCCCCTCGAAGCGATTTTGCAGCCCGATAACGATATTATAGAGGAGTTAGAATCTGTATCTCTAAGGCCATTGCGATCGTAAAGCGTAAATTACGCATGCATTTTGTTATTTCCCTATCTTGCTCTTTTTCTGATTTTCCTGCCGCTGGTGGAAAAGTCGTGCGAACTTTTGAGTGGGGCACACAAAAAAAAAGAGACATGGCACTGAAAAAAAGAACAGGAAAACATAAAATTCGACATTGAAATGGCTCTTTTGTTTGGAGAGATTACCTTTGAAACTCAGTCGTTTCGTCTGATTGAGATCAAAAATATGGCCAATAAAAAATTTTAAAAATAAATTAAGTTATTCGTTGATCAAATAGCTAAAGGCAACATTTTTAGATCAATGAATAAAAGGTTAAAAGCCAATTTCTGCATTTCTGCAATTGTAAACAACTTTTGGCTTAAAAAACTAGAGGAGTTTTATATATTTCTTCACTCCTTATTGTGAGTTTGGTTTGAAAATTGTTTAGCACTGTGTTTTCTTAACCTTTCCACAGCATTTCCCATTCAGTTAAAGATCGCATACACAGAAAAGAAAAGCCAAAATGTTGGCCTGGAAATTATGGCCCAAGTGGCAGGCAACACGCAATGGCTAAAGGTCGCCACATCGGCAGCAGCAATTGTAACTGCAGCAGCAACAGCAGCAGCAGCAGCATCAGCAAAGGGGAAAAACTTCTTGTTTTTTTCATTTGCATGCAACGGCAGGTCGACACTTAATTAAGAGAAGTTGCCAGTGGCCATGTTGCTGCTGTGCGGCAATGTTGCTGCTGGCGTGTTGCTGCTGCTGCTGCCCACGCATGATTTTTGAATTAGCACTGTGTGTAGTAACAACAACTAATATAATTGACAGTTGTTGCTGCTGCTGTGCTGTTGCTGCTGCTGTGCTGTTGCTGTTGCTGCTGTTGCTGTTGTCGCTGCTTTGCCTACGTGTTCTGTTGCAGACGTCAATGACTGCCTGCAATGCATGCTAAGTAGGAGAAATATAGACGAAAAAAGCCAAAGCCCAGAGAGAAAGCCGCTAAGAAATAGCAAAAGAATAAAGAAAAATCTGCTGTGTTCCATGCAATTTGGGTCTGTTAATTGTTGTTGCTTCTGCGATTTATGCCGCTTGCATGCTAATTATGAGAGGGGGGGCCAAAATAGGTGGGCAATAGTGGATGGGGGAGGGGGGTTCCCAACCATTACTGACAACTAAATCAGTCAAATGATGATGAGCCGCTCAGTGAGCTGCCGCTACCCATAGAGTTTTTAGCCAACTTAATGAGCAGCGTAAGACAGGCAGCCAGGCAACAAAGGGGTTTTAAGCCAACTGATCTCCCACAGTGCACAGTTCTGGTCAAGATGCTGTTGCTGCGGCTGCTTCTGTTTTTTGTTTTTTTTTCGGTTCTTAGTTGGTTCTTTTCAATTAAAGACCCCTGCCGTTGCTGGCTCCTTAGCTCAGTCAGCATATGTTGCTGCTGTGTCGGCTGATGTTGCTGTGCTGTTGCTGCTGTTGTTGCTGCTGCAGTGCCTGATGTTGCTGCCGTCGTTGGCCTAAAACTCATTAATATTGAAATTTGTTCGTGTGCATGAGTTATTAGCAATTTTCTAATTAAGGCTCCCTGACGAGCCGCCAACGATTCTTGGCCGTCACCTCCTCCCCCTCACCTCTTCTCCCACCGCCAACCACCTCATGCTTGGCCGCTCACCTGAGGCGCCTCCATCCCCCTCACAGCCACCCCTCAATGTCACACCCACAAGAAGACCGCCGCTTTGCCTTTCATGTTTTCTTCCTTTTTCCCGCTTGTGTTTTCATCTATGCGTTTTTTTTTTCTACTCCAACTACTGAAGAAATTTGCATTTGATTTATTTATTTATAAACTTAATTGCCGAGTTTTAAAAGTGGGCGTGGCTGGCTCGCTCGATAGGGTGTGGGCTGTGTGTTAATGTCGAGACGGTTTACAAAATCACCTAGATAAAAAAAGAAGAATTGATTGCGGGAGAAATGCCTTTCTACTTTAAATGTTTATTAAATAAATCTAGTTTTTCTTATTATTTTTTACCATAACAAAGGGAGGTTAAAAATTAAAAAAAAAAAGTCTTATTTATATTGCTTCCTTTCCTTCCTTTTTTCATTTTTTTTGTGATTTAAATTTATATTATATTTTAATTCCAATCATCTAGTTTCAAATGTTTCCTATTTTTGTTGCCGAGACTTGTAGCCCAATTTTAGATGGCAATCAAAGTCAAAGTCTGGTCACTGGTCACAAGATCAGACAATGATCAATGATGATCTCTCCGCTCCACCCGTTCCACTCAATCCACTCGATCCACCCAGGCAAAAGTCCAGGTTCAGAAGCCCACGCACACGCCACCAGCCCACAAATGCAGCATGTTGCAGTTACCGTTGAATGTTGCTAGTTGCTGGTTGTTGGTTGCCAGTTGTTGCTGTTGCTGTGGCTGTGGCATCCTTGGAGTGCTCTTTCAGTTCTGGCCCACTGGCTCACAGCTGCAACTGCAACTGGGAAAACCTTTTGTGGTCCAGGCCAACAGACAACACACTTGACTGATGAAGGCAGAGCAAAGTCGCCGGTCTGGCCACTTGTTTTCTCGGGATAGTATGGTATTGGTATAGGTATAGTATAGGATGGGATAGTGTAGTATAGTATAGTATAGTATAGTATAGTATATAGTATAGTAGAGGATAGGCAAGGATGGGATAGGATTGGTGAACTGCGTGTGAGTACGCCTACGTGCGATGGCGGCACATTTTAAATCAAAAAGAAGGGCGCACGATGCAGTTCAGTTGAGTTGCAGTTGAGTTTCAGTTATGCCGCGCCTCGTTTTTTCTCTCTGCTCGATTATTAATTGCGATAGGAGGGGGAGGCGAAGGGGAGCCAGGGGGTGACAGTCTCTGTGCACTGTGAAAAATAGTTTACTCTTTACAGAATAACTTATTTTATACTGCAAATTACGTTTAAAAATTCGCATTACAATTATAGTAATTATTGCAAGCCTTTTTTAAAAGCCTTTTTAAAAAAAAAAAAAAGACGAAATGAATACAACTTTTACATATTAAATGGAATTAACAATCTGTTTAAAAAATATTAGCAATTTTGCTAATAAGGATACATTTGATGAGATTCGAATTCCTATACATTTAAAGTTTACATATATCCTTTCTGATCCTTTCCTTTTTATTATAAAAAAAAAATCAAGTATAATACTTAACTTTGATTTACTTTAAGAAACTCAAATAATTAATCCTATAAAACTTAAAAGTTCTATTATACAAAAAACAAAAATTGAAATACTTGTATCAAGTAAAAAATCTATTTTCATATTATTAAGATAAAAATTGAGATTTCCATAAAAAAGATATGCCAAATTGAAAAGCCAGGACCAAAGTTGCTATAGTTTTTCTCAGTGCAGGGGTGTTTGAGCTGCAAAACAGTTGCAATTTTGCTGTTGTTCGCGTTGTTTGAACATTGCCGACACCGTTTG